TGCTGGTCACCCGGGCAGCCCGGATCCCCACTCAGCTAGTTTATGATTTTGCCCCTAGCCAATAGTGGAGACAGCATCGTATGGAGTCTGGAGGATGACTATACCTCATCATCACTACAAAAGTACTGTGTGTCATGTGCATGGATGAACTATTTTGGGGCAGCCTTCGCTGCAGTGGATGGGAGGGCTTGGACAAACTAGCTTGGTGGAGGCTCTCTCTCTCTCTCTCTCTCTCTCTCTCTCTCCCTGACACACAACCATGCATCGCTTGCACGGGGTGCAAGGTGCAGCTATGGCCGCAGTGTGAGCGCTGGGCACTGGAACGCTCACACGCCAAGGCCGCTCTGTAAGGACCTGCCAAACACGGACTGAGAAACACAGAAACACAGCTCATTTCTGAGTTTTGCCAATGGATTTGATGCCTTGCTGAGTTTCCCACTTGTTGCTGAGTTTTCTAAGTCTGAGTGTGTGTGTGCTTGCTGGTCTGCGTGCCTGTCTGAGTGCTTGTCGGTTTGAGTGGATGTGTGACCCGCAAGGGTACTTGACCGTGCAGGAGGCCCAAGGGGCCAGTACTTACCTGTGACCGTGACATTGAGGGTTGCAGTGGGGAGAACACCCTAGTGGTAGGGAAAGAGGCCCGCGACACTCAGAGCAGCGGAAAAACACTCAAGTAGCAGGTAGGTCGGTACCACACCAAGTAGAGGTAGATGTGCCGGGTACTCGAGGCTGAGCAGAAGAAGACGAAAGTTGGCATTTTTAGAGGCCCAGTCGGTGTAGACTAGGTCTAGGCAGGTACCAGTCCAACCAGTCTGAGTCTAGGGCCTGTACGGGCAATATCAGAGTCTGCAATGATGTTTCCCTCCGAAAGGGAGGAGGTAACTGTTGCTTGGAGGCCGCACGGCCTTGGAAGCCACCGCCCAAGAGGCAAGCAGGCCGCCATATCTCCTGGAGGAGCGAAGAGCTCCTCCTCGTTCGTTGGTGTGCAAGTTTGACGACACGCTGCTGGAGCGACCGACGGACCAGCGCTAGCAGCAAGCAGCACTTGGGGAAGGAGCGCCCAGCTCTCCACCGTGGCTATGGTGGAAGGAGCCAGGCAGGCGAAGGATAGTAGACGGGAGCTCCAGGGGACTTGCCTGGCTATGGTGGACACCATCTTCATCACCTTGGTGGACGCTGCATCTGGAAGGCCCCGCTGGGGGAGAGCTGCATCAAGAAGCTTTGAGGCAGAGTCAGGCATGGAGGCCTGAACCGGAGCAGCCCTAGCTGCTTTGTGTTGTCCTTTGCACAGCAGGGCAATGCCCTGGTCATCCGCCATAGCCTCGGCCCTTGAGGAGGAAGGAGAAGGGCGGCCATGGCTATGGTGGACCTCATGTGGTACCTGCAGTAGAAGAGGGCTTCGGACATTGATTCTGGTTCAGCCATTATACATTATTATTATTATTATTTATTGTTTGAATAAGAGGGGAGGAGAAAAGGAGGAAGAGAGTGGTTGGCGAAGAAGGAGAGAATTATCATTGGCATTTGGTGGTGTGCATCATCTTCTTCTTCTTTCTTTCATCTTCTTCTTCTTCTTCCGTCCCTCTCTCTCCTCTCAAGTTTATTCATTTCTTTTTGCAATTGGACGGCATTGTACTTTCTCGTGAATGTGTACTTCGAAATTTGCCAGGATCATAACATCACTTCACCTATAACGCGCACCAGCAGGTGGCAACGGAGGGCACACAGTGCAAGGAGAGACTTTTGAAGCGACGCTCATTGGTGATTAAGACCGGCCCTAACATCCAGTGAAAAAAAAAAAGGACCTCTGGAATTGTGGTAGGTGCTGTTTGACTGGCACCTCCAAAACCACCACACCGAGTGGGCAGTCACGACCGTGTCTTTACGTATTTGGGGACGCGGTGTGACCGGCGCCTACCGCTATTCCCCAAATCGGCCCTCCGCATTTTCTTAGATTTTCAGAGTTTGGTACAGCAGTGTGAGCGTGCCCTGATCTTGTTGGCCGTTGTGTGTGTTGCCTACTAGTTCGAATTCGTGGCGTAGGGGCAGGCACAGTGCCCGTCCCTGTAATGTTGGAGAAAATCGATACGAGAACAAAAAACAAAACAAAAAAAACAAAAAAAAAGCTACGACATGAATGATTGCGTGGAAGGGTTCACAGAGCGCATAGGCGCACGTCCACTGTTCACAATGCATGTGGCCCCTATTGGAGGAACATGAACGTTGTTGTTTTTGTTTTATTTTGTTCTTTTCTTTTTCCTTGCAGTGCTGGCAGGGCGTAATCCACGGAGGGGGGAAGCAACGCCCTCACTGAGGGCATACTCACCTAGTACTGGAGTGCAATGTATCTGATCGCTATCATGGTGTTCGGTTTCGTTGTCTCCGGACAGATGCCCTCACTGAGGGCACAATCAGAGTATACTCACCCTAGGCCCTCAAAATCACAAAATCACACAATGAGCGGCCTGATGGAGTTGTTCATTTACAAGGACTCAATCTGGCCATTCATTTTCCGATTTTGAGATTTTGAGGGCCTAGTATGAGTATGCCCTCACACTTGCACTTCATAGAATGCATGTGACAGCTATCACGGCGGTAGGGATGCTTTCTTTTGCTTTTTCTTCTTCTCATTTTTTTTCCCTTGGTTTTTTTTTTTAGCAATACTGGAAAAGAACAATGAAATGGTGCCGAGCAATCGCTGGCTCAGTTAGGATAAAACTCTTCTGCTTTTTCTTCTTTTGAACTTTTTCTAACATTGCAGCATTGTTCAACATGTGCTGCTATGATTGCCTCATTCCAACGACACCGGAATGGAGATCTTCAGATCATCTTCTGCTTTTTCTCTTTTCCTAGCCAGGACACATGTAGTCTTCTCCTTTTTTTATTTTTGATTTACTACTGTTTGCCTTGTCAGCACAATGCTACGTGTCACCTTCTCCTTTCCACGATTTCTAGAACCACAAAAAGACAACGAAAGCACTCTGAAAAGGCAACAGCTACCGACCACAAAAATGAGAGGGCCTCTCATAGAGGGCCCTCCACACCCCTCTTCGCAAAGGACCGGTTGGGGCACATGAACCAAAAAAAAAAAAAAAGACGGTCCTCGGCCTTCCCTGAATCCCCGGAAACCTCGCGCGACCCCAAAACGAAAATTCTGCCCCCTTCCAACTACCGGTACATCTGCCAGCGACCGGTACCCAACCGAGGACCGATGATGTCCGTGACACAAAAAACCAAAAATTCCAAAATCAGAGGAGACTTTACCCAACTGAGAGGATTGCAATGTACCTAATGTGTTGTAAACCCCTCTTCTTTTTTTAACTACGCTATATTCTTTCAAATTCCCCTTTCACTACCGACCTACCACTACTAAGGCTATACAAGGGACCCCTGCGGCGAGGTCCTCCTAGCAAAGAAGGTTGGATCAAACTGCTGCAGATGGATGCATTTCATGCCGAGACACAGAAAAGCAGATCCATCCTGATTTTCCGCACCTCTACACAAACACGTCCAGATAGGCGTTCAATCCGATCCTCCTTGCTAAAGGGACCTCCCCCCTGGAAACCCTTTTCCCTGTCTGCATGTTTTTTGAACTTTTTTCCTTTCTTTTTTTAACAAAAAGGGTGGTAGCCCCTAACATCGGATATCCCCCACAGTTCGAGCTCACGACCTTTCTGCCAACTGCGGCATCGCTTGTAGTGTCCATCCACAAGGCTCAGCTGTGTCCTTGTATTCGACTAATCCTGACCTGAGGCCTTGACGCTCCACAGACGTGAGCAAGGGGCAAAAGAACCCAAGCAACCACAAACAAGGGGTGAAAAATGCAAGCACATCGTCAGCAAACCCACAAACCGACAAAAACGTGGCGCTACCCTCAGCCAAAAAGTTGTTTGATTTGCAATTTCAACACCCTTCAGAGTTGTTTGACAATTTTCGGTTTTTGTTTATTTTGTGCTGGGGCTGTCCGGGACCTAGCCAGGTCCTGACCCACCATGTCTGGGACCTCTACATCGGTTTCGCCGATATAGAGCTCAAATATTCAAGGTCCCGGGAAGGGTTATGGGTAAACGTTTAAGTGCGGAACCAGACAAAATTCTGCTTGGAATCACTGACCAAACCATAGAAGATTGGAAAAAATCAGTGAGTGGAAAAGGCACTCCCAGGCAACCCCATCAGGTTGGAATTCTATACAGTGACCCCAAAGACTTGCCTAGAAGAATTTGAAGCACTTACTCGAGGAATTGGTCCCCGGGTCATGGGGGGCTCTATTCTAACAAGTTTGACCCAATGTGCCCATGGTCAAACTTGCTAGAATAGAGGCCCCCATGTCCCATAACGAAACCCAGATTTACACTTCGTTAACTTTTGCTTGTGTTTTGAAACTGATTGCTTCTGATGGCTTGCAGTCTGGCCACAGACTTTCGGGGGAAGGAAGGCTGGCATATCAGCCCTTCCACAATATGTGGCTACTTTTTGAGACGCTTCTAGAGACAAGAAAGTACCTTCCACAGCTGACACTCACAAGCAGCCATACCCAATAGATGAAGAGCAGGACATCGCCATCAGAGTTGTGAGATCAAGAGAGAGAGAGAGAGAGAGAGAGAGAGAGAGAGAGAGAGAGAGAGAGAGAGAGAGAGAGAGAGAGAGAGAGAGAGAGAGAGAGAGAGNAGAGAGAGAGAGAGAGAGAGAGAGAGAGAGAGAGAGAGAGAGAGAGAGAGAGAGAGAGCTGCATAAGGAGGGAATGGGGGAATACAAAGCACACATCAGCAACCAAGTAGCAGCCCAGTAGCCAGGAGAAAGACTTCCCAGAGTCGATAATACTTACAAGAGAGAGAGAGAGAGAGAGAGAGAGAGAGAGAGAGAGAGAGAGAGAGAGAGAGAGAGAGAGAGAGAGAGAGAGAGAGCTGCATAAGGAGGGAATGGGGGAGTACAAAGCACACATCAGCAACCAAGTAGCAGCCCAGTAGCCAGGAGAAAGACTTCCCAGAGTCGATAATACTTACAAGCCGCGTGATTACTTGGTCTTTGCGTGCACACTCCCCATTGCTCCGCTTGTGCAGTCTTCCACAAGTTGAATGAGAAGTTCATCGCCTCCCAATTTGGCGGCATCGGTGATAACAGTACAGAGTCTACAGACATGTTCCCTATTGGATCATAATCCACTTGCGAATTGTTCATATCTTGCTTGGCTGAATGGCTGGCAGTCATGTCCTGTAATAGGTCATGATAGTCCGCTTGTGAACTGTTTACATCTTGCTTAGCTGACTGGGGCGGAAATAAACATCATCCAAACGAGCAGACGTACAAGTTTGCATAAGTCACATTCATTGCGAGCTCCTCACACGCGAAACGTTCGAGGAATATGAACCAGACCAAAAAAAAAAAATTAAAAAAAATCATCTTACCGAGCTTGCGTGTCGCACGCACTAAGACACCAGAGCGCCATTCGAGAGAATGCAGATCGAAAAAGTGAAAGTGTAGTCATCACTCGACAAGCTACGCTCAGAAAGTAACCCTTCGCAACGACGATGGAGCAAAACCGGCAAAAAATCGAAATGCTTTTCCAGTTCATCTCTCCCCCCTGTGATAATTTTCTCAATCTTCACTAAAATGCACAATTTCTCACAGTCACAGAAGCTAACATTCGATCCAGACGGTGTACTCTCATGTTTTTTTTTCTTTCGCCAAAAAAAAAAAAAAAAAGAATTCAATCCAACCAACAATGTTTCTTTTTTTTATAACTCCCAAGTCAATTTCTTTTCCTTTTCGCAAAAAAAAATTGAAGTTTCACTCAATTTTATTTTTTTTTGCTTTTNTGCTTTTCATGCCTCTCTACTATTTTGTGCCTCTCCTCTTCCCCATTGCAAAAATGAGTTTCAACTTCCCTCAATCGTAGCTACACTACGATATGCAGCAGGTATCTTAAAAAAAAAAAAAAAAACTAAGAGACCTTAACCCTGCATTTTTTTTTTTTTTGTAATCACGTGTGATTTTTTTTCCTTTTTTGAAAAAAAAAAAAAAAAAAAAAAAAAAAAAAAAAAAAAAACTTTCCTTTTCAGTCTTTCTTTTTCTCTAATACTATAAATAAAGGAAGGCGCGGGTCTCGCGTGACGGGCCCACGCGAGACAGCGCTCCCGGGTGTGGGACGATCGCTGGCGGCCCGAGGAGCGGTGTTCACGTTGGCGGGCCTTTCTCGAGGAAAGCGGGGCGATCGACACGGGTCTCGCGTGACGGGCCCATGCGAGGCAGCGCTCCCGGGTGCAGGCCTTGGGGGAAGTGCGGCGACCGGTTCCGGGCGGCGTCGGGCGTTTCTTTGGCGGGGGTCGGGAGAAGCGCCGCGAGCGGTATCGGGCGGTGCCGGGCGTTTCGTGTGCATTTGTGCGTACGCGGACGTACGTGGACGCAGTCCGTGATAGTGTGCGTTGTGTGCAAGATTGGTGGGCAGTGTGCGTGTCGCCGCGCGGGACCGGTCACAGGGGGATGAGGACGCAGTCGCGGACGTGGATCGTCGCGAGTACGCAGCGGAAAGGAGGGGACGGCGGGAACGCACTGGCCGATGAGCGCACGGCGGGAACGCACGGGTCGTGAGGAGGCAGCGGAAAGGAGGCGACGGTCGGAAACGCGGTGACATGAAATGACGGGAACGGGCGAACGCATAAGCAGCGAAGGGGAGGGCAGCGGAAAGGATGTGAGGGTGGGAAAACGGTCAGCGACGTAAGTACACACCTGTATGTGTGTGTCGATCGCACGTCGAGGTGCTCTGACACTAATTCCATTGATACGATCACCAAAATGAGAGAGAGAGAGAGAGAGAGAGAGAGAGAGA